AGGCTCCCTGCTGAGCCGGGAGCCCGATGTGGGACTCGATCCCAGGACTCCGGAATCATGACCTGAGCTGAAGGCAGTCGCTTAACCAACTGAGGCACCCAGGCGCCCTCAATGTTTAAATGAATAGGGAGACCTGCCAGAAATCTCCAGTCAGAGGCTTAGGCATCCTCTCCTCCCAGACCATTGGAATCTGCATTTCTTCCTCTGCTCCTAGTACTGTCACTCTCTCCACATTTTACACGTGAAGAAATAGGTCAAGTGACCTGCTTAAGTGACACCACAGAATAAGAGAGGGGGTCGGACTAGAATCCATGTCGCTGGACTCCACATGCAGTGTGTTGTCTTCTACACAGTCGTGAATCTAAAGTTTCATGTTTTAGTGGTTTGGTTTCAGTCGGGCCACAGAAATAACCAAATCCCACTTGTCAAAGTCGTCTTTGAGCACCATGGGAGGCCAAGTGGGGCAGTACGAAGAATCAGGGACTGAAAGTTGGGAGACTATAGGTTTTATCCTCAAGCATTTCCTTCAATAATTAAGCTCTGGGACTTTAGGCAAATTGTTTAACTCTCCTGTGCTTTACCTTTGCTGTCCGTAAAACGTGGTTGTTACACAAATATTTTCCAACAAGCTGGCCTTTTTATGAAGTGGGGTCACTGCTGGCCTTCCCAGAACCTCTAGAGCTGTGCTGGGCTGTTCCTGGCCACTAGTCCCCGAGGAAGGGGCAGCTGGAGCTCAGCTGGCCACCTCTGCATGGCAATGACCAAGGAAGACGACAAATGGGGCTTGGACAGGGTCTGGAAAAGCAGCCTTTTACAAGTTGCCCCTCGTCTTGTTTGAGGAGTATCTGGCTACGAGGTGGAGGTCAGGGCCACTCAAGCTGTTCCCGTAAGGGTGTTTGTGGGGAGGATACACCGGGCGGTCTCACAGCCTGGGACGGGATGAATGGCCTGCTCCTGGCCTGAGGCTGAAACCCAAAACTGTCCCCATTTCCTGGGGGCCGCGGCATCTTTCATCTCTGCTGCTTCCTTCTCCTCTCATCTTGACCCCCTTCTGCTTGCACATGGCCAACCCGGCTGCCCGCCTGGCATGGGTGTAGTCCATGGCTGGTCAGCTGGCCAGAGAGAGAGAGAGCACGAGAGAGAGAGAGCGAGAGAGCGAGAGAGAGCAAGAGAGCACGAGAGAGTGCTATGAGTTTGGCTGGCTGCTGAGCCGGGGAGGTTGAGAGGCGTCTCACCACTTAGTACATATATTTTACTTACCTCCCTGGCTTTCAGGACAGTGCCTCACCTTTACTTCCCCTGTGCCCCTCTATCTCTTATTAAGTCTCTCTGGATTAATTTCTGCAGAGACTAAGCCATTTATTTCCCACCAGGTTAGTTTCCTGGCAATCCAGGATTAGGGAGGGGCTCTGGAAGAGTCAAGGCTTCCTTACAAAGACTTTCTCCCTATCCTCCTGTTTTCAGCCTCATTTCTCACGTTTGCTCCAAGTCATGAGCCTTTTTGGGCTTCGGTGATGGGAACTAGTCTGCCTCTTGTTGGCAGCCGCCTCCTTTTGCGGGTTCTTTGGTTCTGGCTTTTTCTGCTTTGCTAAGTTAGTTACCATTATCCAGCTTCTTACCTCTTCCAGGGATTTATGAACTTCTCTTGAATCTCTGTCACCCTCACGTCACTCGCATTATTCTTGTGGCCTCATTCTTTTGTATTTCATCATGTTGACTTTAGTGAGTGTTGGGAGGGGATGAAGGTACACCTGTGTTTATTTTTAAATTTTTTTATTAATTTATTTTTTAAAGATTTTATTATTTTTTTTAAAGTAATCTCTACCTCAACGTGGGGCTCAAACTCACAGACCTGAGATCAAGAGTTGCATGCTTTACCGACTGAGCCCGCCAGGTGCCCCAGATACACCTGTGTTTAAACTTCCATGCTTAACTGGAAGTCCCAGTCACCATTCAACTCATCCTTTCATCTCCATCAGTTCTTTGAGACTCTTCTTGTCAAGATAAATTATTTTCATGTCACCAAATCCAATGATCACTTCACTGTCCTCACAATACTGTCTCTCAGCAGGATTCCTCATCCTTGATCACAGCCTTCGCCAGTAACTTGCTTCTTTCTCCTTTATGGTAACCCATTCTTCTGATTTGTCCATTTCGTCTGTTGGCTACTTTCATTCTCTTTTACTAGTTCTTGGAATTCCTGTGGGCTCCTTTCTTGGACCTCTTCTCTTCTTTCTCTATACACCCCAGTTGATCTGAACTAGTCCTGCGGCCTTAACTACTTCCTAAATGCCTATGACCCCCATATATCCAGGCCTGATATTTTCCCTGGATTCCAACTTACTGGATATCTCCATTTGGTTACCTAACAGGCATCTCGAACTTAACACCGGTAAACCAGAACTCTTGATTTTCCCTTGAACCTCTTCCTTCCTAGTTTTCTCCATCGAAGTAAATGACACGCTCATACATCCAGTTGTTCCAGACCAAACCCAAGATCATGTTTCTTTCTGCATTTGCCTTCTCTGCTCCCATTTAGTGTATTAGCAAAGCCCTGTCAGAGTCTCCATAGTGTACTATCGTGTCCACTTTCCAACTCCACTGCTGACTACCCCAGTCAAGGCAACCATCATGTCTTGCTTAGACTATGTCAATTACCTCCTGATTGATTTCCCTGCTTCCACCATTGCTCCCCACATCCCATGATCCACCTTCCACATGGTAGCCAAAGTGATCCCATTAGAAATGTGTATCAGGCATTTACCAATTTACCAGTTCATCTAAAACAGCAGTCAGGAAACTAAAGCCCCCTGACAAAATCTGGCCTGCTACCTGATTTTATGTTAACTATAAGCCAAGAATGGTGTTTACATCTTGAAAAAAAAAAAAGGAGAAGAATATTTCTTGTCACTTGAAAATCATATTAAATTCAAATTTCCATGTTTATAAATAAAGCGGTATTGGGACACAGCTATAAGTGGTTGTTTGTGTACAGCCTGTAGCTGCTTTTGCGTGCAATGGCAGATTTAAGAGCTTGTGACGGAGAACATATGGCCTCAAAGCCTAAACTATTTACTACTTGGATCTTTACAGAAAAAGTTTATTTACCCCTGACTTAATCACAAATATTGTTCACTACTTAGATTACTTAAAATGTGGTGACAGGAATATATGGTCAGCCTGTATTTTCCTTGTGATAATTAAAAAATTCTCCAAAGTGTTTGTCTCATTGGAAGAAACTCTAGAGTTGGGCTAAATCTACCACAATTCCATGTAAAAAAAAAACCAGATTCTTATATCTCATTTGAAATCTCAGAGCCAAGATGCACTACTTATCAAAGGTAACTTAAAAGTTCAAACCCAATCTTATTAATGGATTAGAGTGAATAACCCTAACCTTTCTTGTGAGCATCTTTTTTTAAAAAGATTTTTTCATTTATTTATTTATTTATTTAGAGAAAGCACGAGCAGGGGGGAGGGGCAGAGGGAGAGGGAGAGAGGGAATCCTCAGGCAGACTTCCCGTGAAGCGTGGAGCTTGATGTGGAGCTCTATCCCAGGCCAAGATCATGACCTGAGCCAAAATGAAGAGTCAGACGCTTAACCAACTGAGCCACCCAGGTGCCCCATCTTCTTAATTTAGAAATTTGTGTCCATTTGCAAATAAAATATGAAAGTTTGTATTAGAAAAATGTCTATCAGGGTATGCCATTCCCTTGTTTAGGATTCTCCAGTGATTTCCTGTTGCCTTTATTATTTTTATTTTTATTTTATTATGTTATGTTAGTCACCATACAGTACATCATTAGTTTTTGATGTAGTGTTCCATGATTCATTGTTTGCATGTAACACCGAGTACTCCTGTTGCCTTTAAAATAAAACTCAAGCTTCTTACCAAGGCCTCTGTTCTGCAAACTGCCTTTTCCACCCTCCCTTGTTATACAGGCTTCAGTCATACTGGCATTTCTATTGTTCTCCTTTTCTACCCTGGAACCTATCCCCCTGTTCTTCCTCCTGCCCACAATGTTTATTGTAGCCACAAGTCTTCCTTATTCACACGCAAGCTTATATTTAACTCTTCAGAGAGGTTTTCCTAGTCTATTTTAGCTAGAGTAGGCAGCCCTTCTCCCAAATCACTCTCTAGGACATTGCTTTGTTTTGTTTGTGTTTTAAAAGCCCATAGCAAGCATTATTACCCAAAATTATCTTCTTTCTTTCTTTACTTACAAAGTCATCTAACTCTCTGCACTAAAAAATTAACTCTGTAAGGAAGGGCCCTTGAATTTTTTGTATCTGCACTTGCCACACTCTTGGAATATAGTAAGTGCTCAAAAAATCAATCTGTGCAATCAATGAGTGACCAGCTAAACTAAAGGGACTAGGAGCAGGGACAGTTCCCAGAGACAGGCACCTCTAAGCATGTCTCTTGAACGTGTACTTCCCTTCCTCATCCTAGGCCCACACATGACATGATGCCAGGCAGTTACAAAGGGTGGGTGAGCAGAGGTGGAAAGGTAAAGGTGAAGATGAGGAGTGGGGGGCCGGTTTGGTGGCTTGACCCTGCAAAGATTGTGCTCTGTTCCTCTGCCCTGCTAAGCAGCAGTTTTCTGTTGTGACATTCTGTAACTTTCCGTGCAACTTTCTTGCACAGATTTTCGTGGGTAATTTTCCACGTGTTCAGTCAGCTCCATCAAGGGCAAGAGTGAGGAGGGGGACTGAGAATGGCCGGGAGGCCCTGAGACTGTCAGAGGCGCCTGGTGTTGTTGGTGCCTAGTACCAATTCCCGGCTCCCCTCGTGGAGAATAGTCCAGGAAGATGACACGCAGGATGTCCCTTTGTGGCTCTTTTTCAACAGAATGGTTAAAAGAAGCCCATTCTGCCTCCAACGTAAAACTGAGATCTGTGGTCTGCAGCTCAGGGCCAGATGTTAAGACACAAACTCTTCCCAGGAGTTTGGGCTGTAGTCTGGGAAGTGATTATTTATCATGATTTCCTTCCTTTGTGTTTCTAGTGGTCCTTGAAGAAAAACAAAAATAAAAATAGCAACAAACATATTTATAAAAAAAAAAAAAAGAGAGAGAGGGAGAGATAAAACTTAAACCGTTTGAAGGACCCAAGTGCACTGCCTTTATGAGTGATTGAGGCTCGAGAGGGGTGAGAGAGCGCCTACAGAATTTTTACAGAAGCAGAGAAGGGGTGGGCTAAGCTTTTGAAGCCTTGGCATCCACCCCCCACTGCTCTCAACCTGGGGCAGGCTCTCCCCACAGGCAAACTGAGGGAGCTGCAGGGGCCTTGGAGAGCACAGCCCATGACGGCCCTCCAGCCCCCGCCCCGTGTGGGCTTCCGCAGAGGACACCCCTCCCTCCCGCCATGCCTGCCGTCCTGGGGCCATGACGGTCCCTCCTTCAGCAGCCAAGGAAGAGGCAGTGCAAGAAAAAGGCTCAGTCATCTTGCAGAGACAGGGCATCTCCCAGCAATGCGTTCTTATTGACTGAACAGCGCTGCTGCCTGGCAGGTTCTCGTGTCATGTTCTCAGTTACCTGAGTACTTGTTGTTTCTTGGGCCCCTTCATGTCTGACCCAGTTCTTAGTCCTGAACCTGCTTCTTAATTAATCCATGCACTTATGTAATATGTGGCACACCCACCCAGTAATGAGGCCTGTTCAGGCCTTGCTCTTGAATACTCTGGCCTGTTCTACAGTTTCTAAGGAGGTGAGGGGGAGAGAGGTTACCTTCTCCATCTGGGCACCAGGATCGAAGCAGCGACTGCCTGTTGGAATCTACTTTTCCAAGGTGTCTTTCTATAGTAACCGGTGTCTCTTGTTACCATATCCAGGGAAGGGCTTGCCCTTGGAGCTCTCTAAGGACAATGAGAACACAAAGGCTAGTTGAGCTGACACGAGGGGAGGAAACCCACCCAAGCAGATTGAAGCAAATGCACACACACAAGAAACCACAAAGGAGATGAAGTGTTGTTTGGTTCTTGATGGTAATCCCTCTTTGCTAGGGGACTGTGACAACTACAGCCAGATGGGGCATAGGACATTGTCTGCGTCCTGATTCTGCTGGCCTCCTCTTCATGTGTTGTCTTACCTTCACCTGGTTTTATATCTTAGTCTTCTTCCCGTCTCAAGCTGTCTGCATACCACATTCCCACATTGAAACAATTTACTTCCTTAAAGTGGGGTCTAATATCACGAGTGGAGAATTTCCAGTCTTTCCAACAACAGTTGCTCAAAGTTCACAGTAAGGGAGTAAATCTTCAGTGACTATATTTTTGAGAGGGCTTAGTTTCATCCATGAAAGGAGTTCACGGATGTGAACCAGCGACTGCTTTTGGGCCATGGAGTCAGCACCACATTGAAACAGGCCCCTGAAACATGCCTTCCAGTTCATGGCTTTGGACACAATCCTCTTCTGACAGCTCCATGCACAGTGTTCTGACTTGCTCCCAATCCCTCTCATTTCTGACCTGGCATTTTTTTCTTTGAGCTCATTTTACCTTTTTGCACCTGATATTTGGTCCATGCTCTTGGCTCCACCCTGCCTATGGCCACCTGGGTAAAAACTCTCTTTCCAGCCTTGCTCCCAAAGCTCCTCACTGGCTCCTTAGAAGCCTCTTGGCGGCTTCTGCCAGGCTTCTCCAGTTGAAGAGCAGGACCTAGACACATCGGAGTGTATGTCAGCTTTCTGCTGTGCCCAAGGTTGCTTCTCCTTAGCAGTGCCCTGTGCTGGGCCATGCCATGAGCACAGGGCCCAGTGACAGGGGTGTAGGCCGACTTGCAAACGGCTCCTTACTGCCAAAGGTCATTGACTCCCCATCCTCTGGTCTCCTACCATCAGGCATCTCCTATTTGTAACCATTTGGGGTTTTGGTGTTTAACCATTTCATGACCATTCACTTGAGCCATACATTTACATTACCCTCCTGAGAGCGCTCTTTTGTATTAATAGTCCTTACATGTGTTCAGAGTCTTAAGGTCAACAGAGTACCTAGTATATTCATATTTATTATCTCATTTCCATACTTCTTATTTTCTTTTGCAAACATGACTCAGGGTCATCTTACTCATTTGGCTCATTAGGGCCAAATGTTTTGGTTTCCTTTTTTT